TATATATATATATGAGTGTGTGTGAAACGAGGTCGATTGCATAACTACGCGTTAAGACACCCCTTTAATGCCGCCAACTCGACGTTTTGGTTTTCCAAGGGCTGACACCTCACCGATAAAAGCCTAGACAATGGTGCAGTAAATATGCGAGTTGGCTGTAACAAGATTCGTAAAGGTTCATTTCATCCTTAGCACAGGGCTACTCAAACTCGGGAACAAGAGCCTGTAGAATGCAGCTGTGTATAAGAAGCAGACACAAACGCAACTCGAGATAATTTTAAAAAGGAGCACTTTAAAACTTCCACGGACGTGTTAGGTACGACAAACCTGGCTGAGTCTCAAAACCAATAGGATACCCATATTAACTTACTGGTGTCTAATGTGTACATCGTCAATCTGTTCCTAAAAGCCGTATGCTACCCTCCCGAAGTGCAAATAAAAGCTATTTGTGTACCTTGTAACCAACATTCTTCATATCCACGTCTGATTCTGTCCAAACAACTTCTCTGTTGTGTCTGGAAATCCGATCGACGAGTTTTGTTTTACGAGAGTCGTGAGTAGCCCGTATCCGACACACCCTTCATGTGAAACTGAACGTTGTCGTTCGATCTTGTTTGTTTAACCCATCGGGCGGTCGTGAAACGCGTGCGTCTACTTCAAGAGAGGATGCACCGTTCAGAATACACTGCATTATATCCATCATCCGTAATCTCCACTTGTGATTGAGTCCTCTTACCACTTAAAGACCTAAAGCCACCTACAAGGTTCTATAGACACAAAAAAGCTAAATATGCGTTTGAGGCAGTGAACAACATCAGCCGTTCCTTACCCTATTCATAGATTATACACCGTCAACTGGAAAGTACTGCAGACCTCTCTAAAAAACGGTTGTCCGCCAATATCCATCAACCCCACTCGAAGCCTACTTGAATGTTTGAGGGCGGATCGAAATTTCAAATTTGGAGTAAAACAAGGATGCGTTTTTCTCCCCGGGCTCTCTTCAATCTATGTGTAACGAACGCCGTGTGTGAGGCTTTTGCGTACGATGATGCTGGTGTACGGTTGAGGGATTGGCTCAATTGATCCTTTCTCGGTGTTAGACGTTTTTTTTGAAGTGAGTCTGACTTCGTACAAGATGCAAGAATGTTATCGGAACTGTCGGACCTGGGACCTGGAACTGCGGCGGCTGAAGACATCTTTGTTTTGGCTGCATTGTACTGGTAAGCCACCAGCAGGCGAAGCGGTGGTCCGTCAGTAAAAGTCGGAGTAGAGAAAAAGTTCAGCAGATCCACACTAGCTTTCTGGAATCACCGGATAGCTGAGCCTGAGACGGTGCTGGAATTAATTTTTCCTGAGCATCGCCATACAGACTGAATTTTATGAAAGTACCTTAGCACACTGAGCGATTCGTTGTGCAAAGTCCGCGACGATGCTAGAGGTAAATTTGAGTCATCATCGTCGTTGATGGGGAATCAAATCGAATCACGGCTAACCACAGAACGCCATGCAGGTGCATTCTGGCATACAAGTGTATCGATAGATACTACTGATGAGGCACGCGAGTAGTGTTTTCTCGTGAACCCGCTTCGCGTCTCTTGAAAAGTGACATCTATTACGAAATTTGTGGAGTCGCTTTGTAGCATTTGCTTGCAGTAACAGTCAATGAATGTCCAGAAAAGTTCAGGAAAACGCGTTCAAGGAAAAGATAGATATTCAGTCTTGTAGACGAGATGCGTATGAGAGCTTTGTTCCCCTGTCCAATAGTCTGTAACTGTTTAGTTGGTGTTTCTCTGCGAAGCAACTCCGCGGCAAAGGCCTTCTCCCTTTCACAAGTGCTGTCTGAAGTTGAGGCCAATCGGTTCATCGGCTAGGCCGTTTCAGTCTGTTGCAGCAAAGTCCCCTAATACCCTGAATGGTCCGGAGCTTCTAGTCCACAAGTTAGTGTTGCAAGTTAGTTTCTGTAAACATCGTCGTGTGGGCCAAGGTGCCGCTGCTCACATGCGTGTGCCTAGGGTGACTCACGTGCGGTCTGGTCCACCCCAGGCACCTCTTTGCTTTCGCGATTATTATCAACTGTCCGGTCTGTGATATTGTAATATGATGTGTAATTTGAGAATTCTGTATTTCGTGTATCCATCTTCAGTCGACCTCCCCACCACGGATAACCTAGAGTGTTGAATCGAGAACGGTGACTCTGTGTGACCCTCGCTTCTCAGACCTAGCTCAAAGAAGGCAAACATCAGCCAGCCCAGGATGATTCTGCTGACTGTTGAAGGTCATCTGGTGACTCTGTGGCAGTCTGATGGCTTTAGAACGGCTCCTTCCTGTCCACCTTCCAGTCTTATCTCCTCGGGTTTACACAGGTGAATACGCATGCAGCTCAGTGGAAACCGTACCTGATACCACCCATTGTGCCTGGGTGTCCATCAGTGACAGAATAACCCAGAAACAGATAACAAGAACCCACCATATTTCCCCGATATCAGCTTTCGTGTTTTGACTACCACGTAAGGAAATTCTGTAAAAAAATAAACGAATTAGGTTGGGGAAAGAGTCCTTGGGATGAAATGACACCCTATCTCCGACGCATTTTATACATATAGCTACACATTCTTTTTTTTCAGGGACTGGACCTTATGGGATGGGTGGCCAAATTGGATATTTTCAGTCCAGTTTCGAACTATTCGTTGGCCCAGGTATATTGATATGAACTTATTTTGGTATGAAAACATGGGATTTCGCCTACGATAGCTAGAAAGATGAATTACTCACTTCATATCATAAGAGTGCGCAAGGTTCACAGGACCGTGTCCAGTAGCCTTTTTTAATTCGGGTATGAGTCTAACTGACAGTGGTGTGTTTGTATGCTCCAAATATGTAAAACACCCTAGGATTTCAGCTCACTCATCTCACAGGCTCTATCTGGTATGTCTGGTTTAGGAACGATCGCTTTTCTCTTAAATAAACGGAATCAAGACCACCATGTTATTCCGGTGAGTCCACACCAACGGGGAGCACTGGACTCGAGTTTCGCTCTTACTAGAGCTCATCTGCAGTGCATATCCAATGGCCGTGCCGGGACTTGAACCCCGGACATCTGACATGAGAGGCGAGCGAGGTCATTCGATCGTCACAACCAGGGTCGTCGTTCGACGAGTCGGGTACACCAATCACATCGCTCAAGTGTGAACACATTCGCCTGTTCAGACGTGATGATTCAGATGCGTCCAACGTGCGTTGGTGGAGTAATGGTTACACACTTGCCTCACATGTCAGATGTCCGGGGTTCAAATCCCGGCAGGGCCATTGGGTGTGCACTGCTGATGAGCTCTAATAAGAGCGAAACTCGAGTCCAGTGCTCCCCGTTGGTGTGGACTCACCGGAATAACATGTACCATGTTAGTTTGTACAATTTCACGAACGGCACAAATAATGGCAGTGCAGAGTACGCAGCAAAATCCGTTGGGCATAGACGGAAGAGGAAACTGTAAAGCACCGTAATTTTTCGTCAGTCCTGAAGTGTCTTCTCTGCCTCAGTGCAATACAAACTAACTTCCTCATAAAACAAACCAACTCTAAGGAGTAGAAAGGAAAACTTTGCTAGCGAGGAGTTTTGTCAGACCATAAGCAGAAGAGCGGCAAGCGGGATGATTAATTCCACTTCAAAGCTTCTCAGAACCTAAATACAAACATGGTACCACCCCGGAAGTACCACCGAATTGATGTCTTCTGCAATGCAGTCATTTTAAGAAAGAGGACACCATTTACGCCTGCCTTTAGAGAACAGTCGCAATGGTATTTGTCTGTGTTACTTTCTACTGAGATAAGTCTTTGTAGCAACAGAGAGGTCTGCAATCACTCATTTTGTAAAGTCTGTGTTTGCGTTTGTGCTATTGGTCCCACTTCAATCAGTTGTCTTATGCTTGGCAGAGGTCTACCAGACCTATCAGTTAGGTTCAGTGGCATGGTGTAAGCTAAGGTTCGATCCATGGACCCATTGGCCAAATGCACAATAATACTTGGTGGAACGCAAAGTAAACCAGGGGAATTTTTTCAACCTCAGGTTTACTTGTTCGTCGAACGGGTGCCATCGAATTTATACCAATCAATGAGATCCTGACTATTTTCTGGACTTCTTGTATGTTGACAGCTATTCACCAAAACGTCAAGGGATAACGACAAGGGGATAACTAGGCAAATACAGAAAAAACTGCAAAAGAATACTACTCTAAACTCAAGAAGTGAACGTCAGCCCCTGAAGTTAGCACAGCCGTTTGAAAGAAACCAGTACAGTGAAACCCGATCGGGTTGTTTTTGGAACTGTTACCGGTGAAAGGAAGAAGGCCTTTGCTGCGGAGTTGTTTATTAGAAAAACATCAACTAAACATTTACAAACTATTGCACAGGGGAGCAAAACTCTCATATGCATCTCGTCTACAAAACTGAATATCCATCTTCTCCTTGAACGCGACTTCCTAAACTTTTCTGGATATTCATTGTTCATTGACTGTTACTCAAATGCAAGCAAATGCTACAAAGCGACTCCACAAATTTCGTAATAGATCTCCCTTTTCAAGAGACGCGAAGAGGATTTATGAGAAAACACTACTCGTGTGCCTCATCAGTAGTATCCATCGATACACTGGTAGGCAATCATCAGCGCGTAGGATGATGAGACTGCTTTGATTGCCAATGCCCAGTAGAACCAGACCGATGTATCAATCAGACGACAGTTGTTCGTCCTATCCTTGACTGAATCAATGTCTGTGGGGTGTTACATGATTCCCTAGCGTGATACGAACGTAGTACTGTTTCGATAAAACAATTCCTTAGTGTGAATGGTTCCCTGTAGTCAAAGTGTACTAACGAACACCTCACTGAGTTGGTATGTCGCCTGTTGTAAGAGCCTTACGCGGCGCGGAGACATATGATCTCCTAAACCCACCAATCCATGCCAAGACCCTTTTCTTTACGTAGCAAATCACTTGATTATTACCCTAAAATGCTTCTTGAATAAATTATGCAAGAGCTAAATGGCGAGTGTAATTTTGTGTTTGACTGCTCATGGGACACGGAGACTTCTCGTTAAACCCTTGCGTTTAATTTGATTGGACCATGATCTAGCCTAGTCGGTTTTTCATTTGCCTGGGATCATTGGTGCATAGGTGTGGTTCGCGCTCCATTGGTGCAGGATGTGAGCAGGCTTTAGACAGAGATATCAGAAGGAAAAATGTTTGGAAATAATCAGATATGATTTTTTCTAACCTATATGTAGTACACCCAGCTGTTTAGTGGGATAGGAATTCTCAGATTGGATAAAGTCTTCATTGAATACTACCGAGTCTCCTCACGTCACCATCAATCAATGAGCAACTCAGAGGAAGAGTAGTGTTAGTGAATGTGTGAGACTTCCTCCTGAGAAGTTGTCACTCAAGGAACCAGTCAATACGTGATCACGTGATGTGGCCTCCGTTATTGAACGATGAGTGTCTTGTCTAAGTTAGAGCTAATCACGCTGCTGATCAGCCATTCATGGCCAAGCGGTTAAGTGTCCAATCAGTGATCGCGGATTTGAAACACTCTAAGGTTCGTCAAATGTGCATTGCTCATGACTCCCAACAAAGACCAAGCAGATATACAGCCGACTTTTCAGTACAGATTGACTTCACTGATGGGATGAAATTTCTATTACATAGAAAAATCGTTGGAGCGATTCTGTCTGCCATCTGAAACTGTTCCATCACTTTAGAGAAGTCAGTAACACAAAATTGAGTGAAAGATTCTTATTGACGGGAGATTTAGCTGAAATTAGTTTGAATTAAGCGAAATGCACTCATTTGCAAACAAATTTGGTTTGCAAATGAGTGTAGTTTGCTCATTTCGTGCAATTTGGTTTCATGTAGAACATAAGTTGACGGAAACTCGGGGACTGTGCCTACCTGATGAACTCGAAGTGGAAGGACGAAACCGGTCGTGGGTTGTCGAAGAGTTTTCAGCAACCTTATGAGTAGTGCATTAGTTTGATTTTATGGTCTTCCTCTGCACAAAGTTCGTCCTGTGTTTCAGCTAATTAAGATATCAAAGTACGCTTCACTTCTATTCACCAGGTCGGCGAGAACACTGGAACGCCCACCACCGGTTTCGCCCTTCTTGAGGCTCTTCACAAAAGTCTAATCCCAGAGTTTCCATCAACCACATTCCGTACCTGAACACATGAGTTACGACAAAAATTAATTCACGAATTAGGTTGACAGGCGAGTCGGCCGGAATCCCTCGTTCGGTCCTATGAGTTGCATTAAAAGGTCCTTCGATATCGTGAAGATCACGTGGAGCATCAAACTTAAACACGAGGTGACCATTACTCGACTATAGTTATAAAGGAATGTTCAGTTCAGATTCTCGCGAACACCAAACTAAGTTCCTATCGAGTATATAACTTCATCTACATACAGTTTTGTGAGAAATAAGGTTGGTTTAAGTTTGGTACTGGGCCTGCCTGAGCAGTCCCAAAGAGGGCGGAGTAGGTAGGGAACAGATGTCGACCTTAAGAGTGGTATAGTAGCCAATATCTTGCCTAAACACCAGTTATCTAGTGATCCAGGATTCTTTACTTAACCTCAACGGACACAGCTGCCATTTTCACTAGAAACGTGATATCCCCAGTGCAAGACAATGCCCCGAAATTGATCGGCCTAAAGCCGAAAACCATCTGGTCAACCCCACAAGACCCGAATGAATAATGCCTAGAACAGTTGACACGAATCCACTTTATTCCGAATTTCTCATGATATACTTGGGCAGCAGCAGCGGTCGAACAACGGTCAGCTGTTAACCTCGTGGATTAGGCACGTCCACGACCCGCATAATAACGCTAACCAACGTTCATTCTCAACGGGGCCAGGCAGCTTTAAGTGTTTACTTTGTGTGTTTCTCAACCCCCCGCCCCACTCCACTTGATGTGACTGTCGAATCCCTCAACAGCCCTTCTATTTTAGCACCTGGACGGTTGAGAGCCGGTACAATAACAAAATGGGGAATCTGTATAGTCCAGTGCACGATGCATAGGCTTCCCCAATTGAGGAGATGACCGTTTATCCCGATAACCGTTTGAACAACACATCTCCTGAACCCTTGAGTTGAATCTTCCAGAGATTGAGGACAAGGCGAAGCACGTTTTCTCGCCCCATACGACGGGGGGGAATTATGTCAGGGATGAAATAAATGCAATATTCGTTTGAGGGTATGTAACTCCATGAGAACCGTATGCCAGTTTTGTGATGGCTGAACTTCCTGTGAGCCTACGATTGGGACAAGTCCAACTGAATCAGTAATTAGGAACCTATGAGCTTGCATATCTGGTTCCAAGCAAGCACCAGAAACCCGATAACTGTCTTTGACAAATACACTCATTTGCAAACCAATTTGGTTTTCACGGGAGACTCAATCGAATCTCTCGTTTATGGTGTTCTCTAGCTGAATGTGCTGCACACAGGCCACTTCATGATTCAGTGTGCACGATCTTCGAGATGTCGCAGTATATTTTCATAAAGGAAACTACTCACAATGTTGCTGAAAACTCTTCGACAGCCCACGACTGGTTTCGCGCTTCCACTTCGGGCTCATCAGGTAGGTGCAGTCGCCGAGTTTCCGTCGACCTTATGTTCTGCTTGAACCCAAATTGGACTGTTTTCGAGAACTGCACTCATTTGCAAACCAATCTGATTTTCACGGAAGACTCAACTGAATTTCTCGTCTATGATGTTCTTCAACTGAAGGTATTGCACACAGGCCGCCTCATGTTTCAGTTGGTACGATATCCTATATATCGTAGTGGACGAATCATAGAAGAATCAGTCCAATTCGGGTTTGAGTAGAACATAAGTTTGACGGAAACTCAAGGACTCTGCCTATCTGATGAACCAAAAGTGGAAAGGTGAAACCAATCGTTGGCTGTCAGAGTGTATTCAGCAACCTTGTGAGTAGTTTTCTGGTTGACTGTCCTCCAAATCTCCTTAATTTTCACTGAAACATCTGACGGGGAGTGAAATGTGTCACTGAAAAAAGATCTTGGACTGTGTGAAATCAAACCAGCTGGTTCATCGTTTGTTCGGAGCCCATTAACAATAGACTTGTAGTGTGGTGAAGTGTACTTTGGTGATGGAAACTACGTAGGTGAAGTTAGTTGCCAGTTGGTCACCCACACTTTGATTAAAAGATTCTGCTGGGTATGCAATGTAAGTTCACAGAAGTCCCTTCAAGTTCATGGTAACTTTTTGTTGGTTTGTAAGGTCTGAGTGAACAAGGCGACAAACACAGGTGTTTAGGGATAGAGGATGAGTCATCATCGTCATCATCATCATCATCATCATCATCGTCATCATCATCAATCATCATCAATAATAATCATCATCATCGTCATCATCATCACTATCAACATCCTCATCCTCATCCTCATCATCATCATCATCATCATCATCATCATCATCATCACCATCATCATCATCATCATCATCATCATCATCATCACTGATAGCAACACCAAGTGAGAACATTGGTACTTCACTGGCGTACAGCACAGATCAAGAGGAAGCGAGTCCAGCGTACAAACAAGAGCAGTCCGTTATTGTGCTTGTCTCACAGCGCGAAGGTTTAAGGGTGTCAGATGAACTGAGGGATGGGGTTTGAAGAATGTCTTCGAAGCATCGGCAGGTGTGGTGGTGAGTGAGTCAACCGTAGATACTGCAGCTAACGGAAATAGCGGACCCGTCAGAACTCAAGAGCGAGCCTATGAAGATGCCGGTAGCAACCAGATGAGGACGAAAAGACGAGCTAGTACGAAGAATCGGAAGAAGCAAGACGTCAGCAGTGGCCTGTTTTTGCTTACCCGCTTGTCTGTGTGCAGCAGCCAAGGTGACCCGGCTGATGGCAACGGCCGAGGTGGCATCAGATTAGTTGTAAGTGCGCAATTCTTGGTTGTGATTGGGCCGAGATACTGCTCGGGTGACCAAACCTAGACGAGAAAAACCTGTCTTTCTCTACTTTCCCAGACAACGCATTTAGGGAGGCTAACAAGGCTTGTGACAAACGTAATTTTTTGCACCTGAAACAAGTAGAAACCTAAAAACAGATCGATTTTAAAGAGACAACACCCGACAGGGAAGGAGCCAATTGAATTTTCGGATTTCGGACCCATACCAAAACAGCAACCTTCGAGGTAGGAAACAGAATCCACTGTGCCTGAGCGAAAAATTGGCATGGTTGAAAAAACGTTTTGTTAGCGAATAAATTTACAGGTGGACCAACTGGTTCTCGGGTCGTAAGTCTCAAATATGTTCGGACTCCGTTCAGATGTGCCTTCCTCTCAAGCCAGTGTTGACTTGCTGGGTGAATTTGGCTACCCAGGTCAGTCTTTGACAAAACTAATGCGATTGCACTTCATACTGTCCAATTTTATCGGGTCTGTAATGCATTGAAAATGTTGAGTGCTAAAAATGTCTATTCTGTGCTCAAAAGGACATACCCAAGCCTTTTGTTTCTCAAGCTGTCCTTAGGTGTAGGGTGGGAGCCATTCGCTACAATATGAGTTTCGAAATCTAGAGCTAACACTTTCAATATGATCAAAATGCCTCACCCTATAAATCAAACAAATTTAAAACGTTCCAGCAAAAAACGTAGTTTATGTGAGATGGGCGAGATGGCTCAGTGATAAGGGCGCGAATTTACTGACCGGAAGATCCGTGATTCGAACCCGACCTCTGCCTCTTGACTTCCCCTGTCTAGGTATCGGCAACCTGGGCAGTATCCCAGTTCTCGTTCTTCCTTATGGTGGCATGGCAGTTGGACATCGAATGGGTGCCACAGCTGAACTATTTTTTCCGGTTGACGCTCAGCCTGGTACGTGTAGTCTAACGTTCAACCACTACGCACAGGCTACAATTTTCGTACTTGACGGTAACCTAAGAAGGATCACACACCTAACCATACTGAGGGGAAGTACTTTTAAGTACTCCCCAGGGGAGGACGACTTCTCTTTGGAGTCCCAACGGCTAGGAATTTGACCCTTATGGTAAAGGCACTTCATTCTGAGTGAGGACTCTGTAGCGTTGGATACGGGCTTATAAGAAGGCAGTGGGCTGAAAGGCTTGTGAATTATTACTCCACAGTTCCGCACCTCCAGAGCGACTCTGTTCCGTTTTTTCAACCCCACAGAGTTTATAATTGCTGTGACAGTGAAAAAGTATCAAACTTTAGTACAAGACATTGTTGAAAGCGGAGTTAGTGATTCTAATATCAAGAAGGAAGCGAATTGTATGTCTCCGGAGAAGAAACGCTTCAAACTAGTGAATGATGTCTTGTGGTCTGGATTGAGGCATTGCGATAGAGGTAAGTTTACCTCACCTGCTTCATTCTGCCGTTACTATAAAGCGCTTACCATGAGTGACAGAGGTGAACACCTACGAATGTGCGGTGGTCATGAGAACTCATGACTGTTGGCTCCGTCAAGTAAAAGTTACAACGCTCAAGAAATAACCAACCAATCAATCAGTTAATTATTAATCAGTCGGTTGGGAAACGAAAGTGATTTACTGGGTTAATCATGATTTAAAATCTGTTCTATTACAGCCCTCCTCAAAACATTCATCTCTATGTAACAAGCTTTGTGTTTGCCGGTTTCTTCTATGCTCGTTTTCAGGGACTTTACTAGGAACTGTTTGATTTAGTACCAGTAGGAAAGTACAATTTGTTCTGTGAAGCACCTCTGCGCAGACCCCTTTTATACTGCATCCATCTGCGACACTCACACTAGTTACTTGGTCAGTTTCGTTAGTCTTGCCGAATTCCTGTTGAGTTTCATGGAACGGGAGGTGTTTCCACCCACCCGGAGACAAGTCTCTACCGCAATGCCAGCCAAGACGTCCATCCTCGAAGTTGAGTGATTATACCACATGTCTTATTCTCTCTTTCTCTCAATCTCTGGACCGACTTTAACACAGTGGTTCCGTCGGCCGCTTCCACAGAAATTAATCTTTCTAAGTCTTCAGAATTGAAAAAAAATATTGCGGCGAAAGAACGCTACTTAAATTTTGTCAGTAGTTTTATTCAAGTGGAAGAAGAAGTTTTGCGAACCGGGAACACGCCAGTTATATGTAGACAAAGTGACGCCCAAGTAAAGTAGAGGTAACTCTTGGTATTCAGTCGGTACGTGCTCTCAATCGTACACTCTCAACGGGTTCCAGACCAAAACTAATGAACCTTGTACCTTGGTAGACACACAGGCCCACCAAGGTCATGTGCGATGCTCTCTCTCTCCAGACACCTGTTCATTAAGCTGCCACCATTTTTCCAGACAGCTCGGCAACGAGGTAGACGAATTTTGGTTACCTGTCAAAATAGTAGTTCTAACTTGTGGTTTTTTTTCAAACTCTTCAGAGCCGTACGACTCCGACGGTTCGGAGAGTTTATTTTGTCCGCCATTTGGGTTTCGAATGTTAGAATATTAGCGCTACCAGTTTATAGGTCAAGAGTAATGTTTGTTTAGATGTCTTCATGTAATTAACCTGGTAGTTCGATGTGTGAAAACAAATTTATTTTCTGGATACTGAGAAGATTCTGTATTTCAGTATGGAATTCATTCTGCCAGATATAGATCTCCAACCGCCACCACAAAATGCAATGTCTAGGGGGGAGACTCCCTCGGGAGGGTGGGGTTGAGCGATACCAACAGTATCCCAAGCTTTCTATCAAAAACTGATGAATTCCTTGGTAGATTTCAGGAACCTGGTTTAGATTTTTTAAAATGGATATTACCTGAGCACTTTAGATTTTCAGTAATTTTGTAAAGTTCATTCACATATGCTACCGAAATATGGTGAGTTTGGCGGGGACGTATCAGAATTTCGATGCATTTGCCGGTAAATGATCAGATGGCTCCCTATCCGTTCATTGAGCCGTTTCGTCATTAGTCACCAGGACGCCCTCAGTGCTCGGCTCATCACGAAAGTTTGAGAAGGGGTTCCCAAACTCGGCGTACAGATCAGCGATACTCGGTCGACAGCCACGGCGAACCTGTGTGGTGATGTTGTCTGAGCCCTTAGGAACTAAGCGCTGTTCGACCTAGCTATTAGGATCAGCCTGACACGACAAGTTGTCTCGAAGGCGTATTCTAATGTAGCCAAAAAATTCGGGGAACCTAAAGTTCTTGAGTCACAACATTCTGCTCTTCAGACTGATTGCATTCGTCTCAGCTATGAGACGTTTCATCAAGTAATGCCTTGCCAATGAGCACTGTTCAGTCGTCTCCAAATTCATGTCACAGTCGGTTTTGCGGGAGACTCATCTGGAACCCAGCTCAATCTCTCGTTGCTGCAACATGGGGCGGCCTGATGCAGCGCATTCATTTGCTTAAAAACATCATAAACGAGGGATTTTAGCTGGGTTCTAGGTGAGTCTCTCGCAAAACCAAAGTTGTTTGCAACTAAGTGTACTTCATTCCGTACAATTTGGTCTCAAGTAGAACGGGTTGACGGAAACTCGGGGACTGCGCCTACCTGATGAGCCCGAAGTGGAAGGGCGAAACCAGTCGTGGGTTGTCGAAAAATTTTCAGCAACATTACGCCTAGTGTATTACTTCTACTTATATCACATCCGTTCCTGCGGTTTTCAGGCATGCGACGAGTTTGTGTATCAGCTGTGCGTATGACTTGATGTTCAGCGTGACGGGGCACCTGTGTTAACACCGTGTGGCGTTCCGATTACACTGCCTCCTAAGTCATGAACAGGCTAGTCCGGCGCCAGACAGTGCCCCTTCTTTAGCTAGAGGGTTGCTTCCTATGGGAGATTTTTGTGGGGAAACAGTTGTGGCGTTTAAAATGATGTTAGTGAGGGTTCCTATACTGACAGATGTCTTTAACAGTTATTCTGTTCCTATAGAAAAGCATATCACACCGGCCCGGTTGTGTAGGTCACAGTCATCCGATCAACCCGAGATCACGTAACGTAAACTAGATAGTTGAGGGTAAATGTGCTTTCGTAATTTCGCTTCTAAGAGCTAACACGTTTATTCTCAGACCACGTATAGTGGTGCGATTCCACCTTTATTGGACGAAGAGATTTCTTGTGAATATTCCATTAGAAATATCATCAATTTTGAGTTCAATCAACATATTGAATTTAAACCAGATCTATCTATCTATCTATCTATCTATCAATCTAATCTATCTATCTATCTATCTATCTAATCTATCTATCTATCTATCTATCTAATCTATCTATCTATCTATCTATCTAATCTATCTATCTATCTATCTATCTAATCTATCTATCTATCTATCTATCTAATCTATCTATCTATCTATCTATCTAATCTATCTATCTATCTATCTATCTAATCT